TAAAGAAGACGGATCAGAGATGATATGCCACGCTTGTTTTGCAAGAAGGGCGAGGTTAAAAGTATAAAGATTTCGAAAACCAAGCCCGCCTTCTGATTTTGGAAGGCAAAGCTTATTCCAAGCCATCCAGTAGATCTTTTTCTCTCCCTCCACTTCATTCCACCAGTAAGAGGCCACAAGATGATTTAATTCGTCACAAAAGTACTTTGGGAGTAGGAAGCAGTACATGGAATACAATGGAATTACTTGAGCCACCACCTTAATGAGTATCTCATTCTCCGCAGCACTAAGAGTCTTGCCTTTCCATCCCTGGAGTTTTTTCCACAGCGTCTCCTTTATATGGTTGAAACATGTCCCTTGGTTCCTTCCAACGAAGGTGTGAAGGCCCAGGTATTTCTCATGCCTTTCGACTTTTTCCACACCCAGTAAGTCTGCCAACAGATTTTGTTCACTTCTTCTAACATTACTGCTGAAACATATTGCACTATTCGATAAATTAACCATCTGACCCGAGGTCCTTTCATAGCACGCTAGGATATCCTTCACCACATTACAATCAGCTCTCCTAGCTCTAGTGAAGATGAAGGAGTCATCGGCGAATAGCAGTTGATTTATCGGTAGTGCTTACTGATAGACAAATATCCCTTGAATTGTTCCTGACATTTCCATTCTTTCAATTAAGCTCGATAGGCCTTCTGTACAGCATAGGAAGAGGTAAGGAGAGATAGGATTTCCCTGCCTTAATCCTTTACTCAGGAAGACATAACCTTGGGGAGAACCATTCACAAGAAAAGAATATGAGACATAGGAAACACACATCATAACTAGCTTGATCCACTTCAAACTGAAGCCCAACTGAGCCAGCACGCCTTAAAGATAACTCCATTCGATTCTGTCGTATGCTTTGCTCATATGGAGCTTAAGTGCAAGGTATCACTTCTTCCCTATTCTTCGCTTATGTAGAAAAGTAGCAATCTCAGAAACTAGAATGGTGTTGTTAGCTATCGCTCGACCCGGAACAAATGCACTTTGATGTTGGGAGATGATCTGAGGCATGATACCTTTCAACCTATTCGCCAATGCTTAATATAATATCTTATAGAGGACATTACATAAGCTAATTGGGTGTAGTTGGCTTATCTCAGGAGGGTTTTTTTGCTTTAGGATTAAGGCAACATAACTTTTTTAGAATTCGGCCTGAAGAAAGAATTGAGAGAATCGTTCTAGTCACATCCTCACCAACACTGTGCCAATACTTTTGAAAAAATAAGGGTGACATACCATTGGGGCCTGGGGATTTCGTAGGGTGCATCTGAAATAGTGCAAGCTTAATCTCCTCCTCCGTAAACTCCCGGTCAAGCTCCACGTTCATTTGAGGAGAAACTTTACACCTTAAGGAAGCAGTCACCTCGTCGTTCATGTTTCGGGGTTGAGGTCGGGCTTGGAACAGGGAGCTGAAATAGTCAATCACAACCTTCTCAACATCCAAGTCATTGGTTCTCCAGACGCCAGACTGATCCGTGTGCCCCTCAATCCTGTTCTTGTGTTTTCTAAAGTTGGCCCTTTGGTGAAAGAAACGTGTGTTTTGGTTTAGGTTCTATAAAACTAAAAGCAACCATCATATCAATTTAGGTTCGATTAGGTTCTTTAGGATCGTTTGGTGTACGGTCTTTTTACAACCAAACTCGAAAGTGCATTTACAAATCAAATCAAGCTTAACCTACATCATGTAGGGTTTATGGTAATAATATGAAGGTGCCCAATTTGAAACTCAACGAACTTGGCCTGACACAATTTGAAACCTGAAATTTTGAATGGTTGGACATTTCCCATGTCTTAACTTTCACTTGATAACCAAATAGAGAAGAAGGATAGAGAAAGGTTGGGAAGGATGTACCATACAACGGTTTACAAAATGGAATGAAAAGCTAAAGCCCGAAGACAAGTTTAAGTTGTTTCACCCTCGAATTGTTGTTTCATACATTCTTTTAAGGCTTATTATATTAACATTTCTGACATTGGGTTCTTTTTTTTCCTTAAAAAGGGGACCAATTGGTGGATTCGCCACGACACTTCACCATTTCGGAAGTCGGAAAGACTCACATAGGCATTTCAGCCTCCTTGATATATTGTCGAATAACCTAACATACTTAGTACACTCCGCATTTGCTTTTTAATTAAAAATAATCTTAATACACCCAATAAGCTCATCAAAATGGAAAAGAAAAATAAAGCACACGGATAATCTCATCAAGATTTGGATCAAAATAATCCATTGAAGGTAGTACCTCTTTGATTGGAGCTTTAACTGGAACCCTACGATTCACCTTGGATCAAACTAATCACAAGAGGGTATTAGGAAGAAAGAAAGGCCTTCTATGAATTAATTTAGAGTAAATTGTAGTAATGGTCCCTCAACTTTAATCAAATTGGAGCAATGGTCTCTCAACTAAAAATCCATTACCATTGGTCCCTTAACTCATCAAAATGTGTAGCTATGATTCTTTTTGTCAACTTCGTTAAAATTTTATCAAAATAAATTATGTTAGAATGACCATTGCTACAATTGGGGTCCCTCAACTCATCAAAATGTGTAACTATGGTCATTTTCGTCAACTTCGTTGGAATTTTGTCAAAATGAATTATGTTGGAATGACCATTACTACAATTGGGTTAAAGTTAAGGGACCATTTCTCCAGTTGGATTAAAGTTGCCGGACCAATGGTAATTGATTTTTAGTTGAGGGACTATAGCTGCACATTTTGATGAGCTAAGTGACCAATGGTAATGAATTTTTAGTTGAGGGACCATAGCTGCACGTTTTGATGAGCTGAGGGACCAATGGTAATGAATTTTTAGTTGAAGGACCATTGCTCCAATTGACTTAAAGTTAAGGGACCATTGCTACAATTTACTCATTAATTTAAGCCTATTAAATTGCAACACTGCGATACAGACTGAGCAGATTCTAGCTCTTGTGTTTGCATGATCTGACTTCTATGACTTATAGTATAAAATAGAAACGTTATTTAAGCTATTCCTGGGTTACGATAAGCCTGTTTTTGCTTCCTAAGTAGGCATTTGGAGAATTGCATGCAGGGTTATTAGGGAAAGGGATCCTTTCCAGATCCCTTCCACCTAAGCCTCATGACCCACAAATCCGGGCCCTTGAAATTTAATCCAACGGCTAAAAACAAGGGGCCTCATTAAAAGTTATAATAACTTTAGTAGTTGGATCAAATTTCAAGGGTCCGGATTTGTGGCTCATGAGGATTAGGTGGAAGGGATCTGGAGAGGATCCCTTTCCTGAACTCATAAATATCCACAAGTACATTAGAAAAGCTTAAATAACACGGGCTTATAGCTTAAATAACGCAGGTATTTTTGGAAGCAAAAGCAGGCTTAAATAATTTCCAATGTCATTGAAATTACTAAAACAATGAAAAGTACGAAGTCTTACCTCCTGTGAAACTTCCGAAATGTTGATTTCATGTTTCATTCGTAAAAAATAATTGAGTTTTTATATCAAATGATTCCTAAAATTGAGTCTAACAATCAAAATGATCCCTGAAATTGAAAATCAATCAATGTAATCCTTGAAAATAGGTGTCACAAATCAATGTGGTCATTCCGTCACAATTTTGTTAAAAAATATGTTAAGTGTTGACGTGACACATAAATGAGCCCTATAAGTTTTTTTTTTCTTCTCACAAATGGTCCTTGAAATTAATCCATGACATCAAAATGGTCCATGAAATTGACTAGCAACATCAAAATAGCCCCTGAAATTGAAAATTGATCAATGTAATCCCTCAAGTAAGTGTCTCAAATCAATGTAGTCATTCCGTCACAATTTTGTCAAAAATTCTATTATATGCTTATGTGACACATAAATAGGTCACACAAGTCTAATTAAATTTAAAAAAAAAAAAATTACAAATAGGCTTAATAATTTTATAGTTAATAAAAAAATTGTCAACCCAAAAACCCAGTCCTGCAATCACCTCCAATCTCAGTCCGTATTTCTATACCTCCTTCACTCTCTATTCTCTAAAAAAAATCTCTATACACCCATCTTTACACACTTCGACACCCTTCACCGAATTGAACCTGGATCGAGATCACTTTTGGTGACGGCTTGGCCCATCGACCACGACTTTTGGGACATCGCCGTTAACATTTGGACGATCAACATCCTCACAACCTTAATCTTGGAGTGCTTGTTTGGCGCTTCCCTGGTGGTCTGGTGATGTAAAGAACGACGAGATTTACCTTGAGATAATGAGATTATAACCAAGATGCGTCCATTGTTGGTTAAAAACTATTTCCACACCCCCTCTTAGGCCTTGGTTAACCTTGTGCCTTTGAGAATTTATGGAAGAGAGCTCTCTTCGAAGTAGGCCCTACAATAAGAAAAAAAAAAAATAAAAATTTCCATTGTGCACAAAAGATTTAGACAGCTTTTTTTAATTAATTATTAAACCGACATCAGCACATAACAATTGTTTTTATAGAATTGTGGCTGAAGGACCATATTGATTTGCGACATCTATTTTCAAAGACTACATTTAATGATTTTCTATTTCAGGGACCATATTGATGGTGTGGGTCAATTTCAGGGACTATCTTTATGGTGCGGGTCAATTTCAGATACTATTTGTGATAAAAACTTGTAAATCTTGTGGGACCCATTTATGTGCCACATCAGCACTTAACGAAATTTTTAACAGAATTGTGACGGAAAGACCATATTGATTTGCGACATCTATTTTCAGGGACTACATTGATTGATTTTTAATTTCAGGGACTATCTTGATGGTGAGGATCAATTTTGGGGACCATTTGTGATAAAAACCCAAAATAATTTTTCTCCATTGATGTGTTTGTAGTTTCATTGGTTATGATTTTGTTCTAACAGTAAGAGGGATTTTGAGAGTTGAAAAAGATAAATAATACGTTAAAAATAATTAAATCATGAAAAGTTGACTTTTTTTCTTAGAGGTTCATAATCCCCCCCTTTCTTATCCTTGGACCATGATATTGTTTTAGTTTAGTGTCCACCATTTACCTGCTGAGTGATCCCAATCATCTTTTTTCCGCTCCCATTAAGAGTTTCTGTGATGATAGTTACAGATGAAGCAAATATGGAAAACCGCAGAAAAAAAAAAAAAGGTACATCATATCCTTGCTTTGAAAAAAAAAAAAAATTCTTGGGTAGGGGCTTCCCATGTATGTCATAATCCGCTTAAGACACACACATAAGGTGATCCCACCTTCATTCGACTCCTCCAAAACAGGCTGGTGTGGGAACCAGTTGCAGGCGAATGACGTGTCACGGAAGCTTCTGTCCGAGAATCCCTCAACACACATAGACAGCACTTTGGTTTTCCATTACTCTTTGTTTTAATACGGTAATTTCATACAGAATTAACTTTGCTATTTTGCTTCATTGGAATTCCTTTTTGCTTGATTGGAACTCCTAAACCCAAACTTAAATACCACAAAAACTGCTATAGGAAGCAAAAAATAGAAATAAAGAAGAAAGAAGATATTACATAATTTAGTCAAAGTACTTGCATATTGTCTAGCTTAGTTTGTTGCACAGCCGAGCTTGGATTCACTTCATCCTCACCACTCCCCATCTCCTCTGCCTGATAGGTTGAGTGAACACCATACAACAAATAGAACAGCGTTATGAAACATGTCCATATTGCAAACCTTTCGAACGAGAACTTCTTCAGTGTCGTCATGAGGAACACATTAAGGCAGATGGACAGTGCAGCAGGCCATGGCATGAATGGCATCGACCACCCTATCTGATGGCGAACGCAAGGAACGGCGTAGTTGAAGAAGGCAATGATGGTGACTGTAGACACCCCGAAAAGTGGTAGTCCCCACCATTGTTGCTGAAACTTCCATGACATGGAAAAGCCAATAGCACTTGATGAGAGGAGGAAGAGGAACAAAAGAGTTTGAAATGGAGGGTTGTTGCTAATGATCACATATCGCCGGTAAATGAGAGCATTCGCCACAAGGTAGAACACCAAGAGCGTACCGATAGAGATCATTTCTATTACTATTTCGAGGTCGGTGAAGAGCGCAATTGATGCTGTGCAAAGTCCTGCATCATATTTAGGAGAGCAAAGGCTATTCATCAGTTTGTTCGGTTTTCCACTCTATTTTTTTCTTTAACCGTTCCTTATCTTATATGACCAAAGGGGTGCATTTTCAACACTTAAAAATCAATTCAAGATGAGTACTTGTAAGTATAAAAAGAGTTGAACTCTCCCGTAAGCGTGACAGTTATTACACGCCCACGGCGAATATAGTCAAAGGTTTACTAAATTACCCAAGAAAAGGGTGGCATTCAATGGAGTGCCAGTTGAAGGATGGACCTTGGCTAACCATGAGGGCACCAGCCGGGCCCTTCCAATGACACAAAGGTATCTTGCTTGGCCTAACATTGCTACCAAAAGTGAAGCGACAATCCCCAAGCTTGCACCAGCCCCTACCACATTGCTTGCCCATCCCCAACCAATTTCTTGGAATGCCGTCGAAAATGCCACTTTTTCTGTTATCTATCAATCCATGCATTTCAGCGATTAATTCCAGATCATTCATTAGAAATACAGCGAAAATACTAATCTAAGTTAGACTAAAAGGAGGGAGAATTTGAAATTTGGACATAATGCGTTGAACATAAAAGCCCTATCCACCAGGGCGAATCCATCACTTGCCTATAGTACTCATTTTTAACAAAAAATGTTACCTTGTTGTAAGGAACCATCAAACACAAGGACAAGGCCATGAGGCAATAAAGCACAGAGGTGATGACAACGGAACCAACGATTCCAATTGGCAAGCTCGTCAAAGGGTTTTGGATCTCTTCCGCCATGGTTGAAGCCGAGTCATAGCCGATATAGCTGAAGTAAACCCTAGCTGCCCCATCAAGAACACCTCTAACACCATAAGGAGCAATTCCTTTTGGCTTCATCAAGTTTTTGGTAGTCCCATTGCAGAAACCAGCAATTATAATAAATCCAAAGAAAACCACATGGAAGACTGTCATAATTAAGTTCAACAGGGAGCTTTCCTTTGTGCTGCATTATTAATCCAAAAAAAGAAATTAATATAAATCACCCATCATTTTCATGATCCACTCAAACAAATTAAAGATACCATCACTTGAGAGCCCAAAAAAAATAAAAAATAACACTTGAGAAATTATTATCAATATGCAATGGTAATATATACTAAAATAAAATAAATGGTAAGTGATAAATATTTGGACTTTTTTTAGTGTAAAATACTCTAAAAAAGTTCTTGCCAGTTGCAAAATGTTGGTCACATAGATTATGAAAATAGGAAAGTAAAATATAATATATAGTAGAAGGAAGGGAAAAAAAATTATAGGTAGGAAGATCATGTAACCTATGGCAAAGGCAGAGAGTGAGAATAAGAACAACAGCAACAGCTGGGAAGTCCAACATATCATATCCCTTTACCAAACCATTCACTTCTACTCTCCATGTCCTTGGATCATTTTCTCCAAATGTAGAGGATAAATACTCAGTAAAACTTCTGGCAACAGCGGCGTTTGATAATACGTACTCCATAAGTATATTAGCCCCAGCAAAGTAACCCACGAATTCTCCTTCATTATACAAATGAAAGTAATTAACAAAGAAGAAGCTGAAGAATATATTTATATATTTAGCTAGTAAGTAGGCTAATTAAATAAATTTTCATACGTATGTACGTACCAAAGGTCAATCGGAGATAACTAAAGGCACCACCTGCAACTGGGATTTGGACAGAGAATTCAGCGTAACACAAGGAAGAAAGGAGGGCTGACATTCCAGCTACGATATAGGAAATGAAAACGGAAGGGCCAGCCGTCTGGTGGGCGACAGGTCCAGTTGTGACAAAGACTCCAACACCAAGCATTCCTCCAACGCCGAGGGCCATCAAATCATACCAGTTGAGTTTCCTTTTCATGTCTGCCCCTGACCTTTGCCTCACTTGGTTCAGCTCTTCGTCAGGGGTCCATGTGGCAAGCATTCTCCTCCTAAGTCTGTGGGGTGTTTGGGACAGCGAATGAAGATACTTGGAGAAGCAAATGGCGGCAGCAGCGGTGGTGCTGTTGCTGGGTGCTGTAGTTTGGCTGGTGGTGGTGGCCATGCTTTTTGTGCTACAACTTACGATAAGTTTAAGTGCTTTGGCTTCCATGTGACAGCTGGGTGTGAAGGGTTTAAATATGCATTTGGGCAATGGTCTATTGCTTGATTCTTTCACTAAAGATTGAAATGTGAGAACCCAAATGAGTGTCCCTACCTTTAGTGAAAGCATGCACCAAGTTTTAAAATGACCGTTAAACCCTCCTCCCCCCACACCCCCCCCCCCCCCTTCCCTCTCTAATGCACACATACGTACACTACACAGTGTATGTACACACACACACACACACACACACACACACACACACACACACACATATTTATACATAGAAGGCCTTTAGAGGAACAGATTTCTATTTTTTTTTTTTTAAATGGGGTCCTTATGGAGCTCACACTATATCAAACTTTAATGATCCGAACTGTCTATTTTTCAAGTTGCACTTCTTAGATCATTCTTGCAAAATATTGGCCAAATCGGAAATATATGAGACATCTAATTGAGTTCAAAGAAATTGACGAACACTTTGTTTGTTCTATAAGAAACAATGAAATTTTATTGTGATAATTAATTAGGCAAATGGTTTTTGATCGAATTGAATTTGTGCAAGGATGATTTATAAATCGAGACTTATAAAATAGATGTGTTGAATCATTAAAGTTCGATGTAGAACGAGTCTCACAACTAATCCCCATTTTTTTCAAAAAAAGAAAATCTCTTCCTTAAAGGACCTATCTAAACATGTATACAAACATATATAGATATATATATATATATATATATATATATGTGTATATATATATATATATATATAAAATCTTTTGAGTGTCCCAATAAGAAGTAGCCCCAAAGATCTGGTTCTTGTGTTCTAGGAGAGAGCATGCAGAATAAGATAGAAAAAGGCGCAAGCATTTTGAAAGATTAAGAGGGACTTTGACCCAATATATCTTTTGGAATTTCCTCATCACCAGAAACTTTGAAAAGATGTGACAAGCATCCATTCCAACACTTTCATAAAGCAGCAAAAGCCGAAAGGTTTCCTTCCTCACACAGTCTCATCAGTGTCAAGAATAATTGGACCTGATTCCTCAACAGGATATAATATGTCTTTCACTATTGCTGCTGATACAGTTGTAGTGACCAGCATCAATAGATATCCATGTATTTTGGTACAAATTAAACAAAGTGTTAATTAATGAATTCTGATTGGTCAATATCCGCTTTTTATTTTTATTTCAAGATCCTGATCGATATGCTCTATCTTATATGATCAACTCAAAAATGATTTAGTGGAGGTAATATGTTTAGAGTCAATTTAAAATTTTGTATAAGGTACCAAACGAGTGGTAACCTGCCACACTGGGAGAGAAGTTTTAAAAAGTTACCACGATTGTGTTTTAAATATGGAAAAATCATTTGATATGTCAAGTAATGTGTACATGTATGTGAACCATTGAGTTTATGCCATTTTATGATGTGATCTCCTAAACATTGCTCTTACATCTACATTTATCTTTACATTAATTGTTTTGAGTATTATTCCACATAAGGAATGTAAAGTCTTGAATCAAGTACAGTACAAGACCATGGCCCTCTCCACTATAACTTTCAGTTGACTAGGGTGCTGATTCATTACAACATGTTTAAGCTTTGATGTTAAGAAGACGGCTTTGTGCAAAATATTTATTAATTAGGCCTTGGAGAACAACACTCTTATCTTTTATTTTTATTTTATACAACGATATATTTACACCAATATTACTAATTAATTTCATCATTTACTTGCTGATTACTTCAATGCCTTGTAGACTGAATTGAACGATATAATTATTAGTACTTAAACGAACCTGTTAATTGAACAAATGGATGATTCAAAACTTTCGAGTGCAAATTGGGTCCCTAGTAAAAAGATTCTCCAGCAAGCAGAGGCCTTCCCAAGTTTTCCTAGAGGACGATTCCGTCATGGTCTTTCTGAAGAATGAGTTTTTCCGGTAGGTACCTACAATAAGTTCTTCAAGCCACGCAAGTTTGGCCATGTGTAAGATCTTGAAGAAGATTGATGACAATGCTTATGTGGTGGAGTTGCTAGCTAGCAACAATGGGGATATTAATTTGGATGAGGATTTTCTTCCCTTCTAATCTCTCTCCCCTTCTCTTCTCCTCCTATTTGAACGGTCACGCTTAAACCACGTTAACATCTTATATTTATTTATTTTTTTGTAGAGACAATAAGTCAAAAAACAATGTATGAGAGAAGGGGAGGAAGAGAATGGGATGAAAATAGGAGGGGAGAGAATCCTACTCCTATTAATTTAGTACTTTCAGTGATCTTTATGCTTTTCACCTTGATGATGTGCCGTTGTACCTATATAACTCTAGGTCAAGTTCTTTTCAAGAAGGGGATTAAAGAGTAGCTCAGATTGGTGAACTCTGGCGTGAATAGTGATTTCCTACGTGGATAGTGTTTTATGTGTTTAATAGTGCTTTTTCGAGTTGTCGGAGTCTGTTCTCATTCCAGGAAATCTTTTCGAAAAGGGAAAGATATAAGACAAATGAAGCATGTGATTTTTCCACAAACTCAGTTTGATTTTGGGCGTTTGAGATCGTTCAGTGGGTGTGGGTGTGTGTGGGTAAAAAACAGATTTTATTTATCTTGTGTATTTGTTTACTTTTCTTTTTTATTTCCTTTCGATTTTATGGTTTTGTAGAACTATTTAAACAACTAGGATTGAATTTCATTCATTTTTTTCATTCTATGTTTATATATAAAGCCAATGGCCCAATAAATAGTGTTTTTTGGTGTCACAAGCTTCACAAAAAAAGAATTGGACAAAAATGCTCCTCACACAAAAAACTTCAAAAGCAAACCAAAATAATGCATCAAATGTAACAGATGTATTTTTGTTATTTTAATAGTGTTTTTTAATAATTAAATTTTTTTGTACAGTTTTTATTTTTATTTTTTATAATTATTACCTCATAATAGGCTAGCAATAATGTGATTTAATCAGTTGTTCATTAAATATTATTTTCTCTATTTTTAAATACATTCAAAACATCTTAAGAGGCATGTAGTGCCAGTTATAAAAAAGTATTTCACACGCGGATAATAATGTAATTAAATTAGTGGTCAATTTTTTTATTTTAAACAAACAATATTATCTACACAAGGGGAGGGGGTGAGTTTAACCTCACAATGGACTAGCAATAATGTGATTCAATCAGTTGTTTATTAAATATTATTTTCTCTATTCTTAATATAAATTCAATGGAGACCGATTTTATTATGTGGATTTAATTGCTTTAATTGGTTTATGAGGGTTTTCTTCTAGCATGATCTATTTATTCATTTACTTCAAATATTTGACTTTCCTTTTGTCAAGTTACACATATAAATATATTTAAAACATGTAAATCGCGAGTAGCACACCGTGATTTAAAAAATGCATTCTGCATGTGCTTGAGTGCGTGCATGAAGGCTAGTTATCAATAAAAGCAAGAGCGTTCATAAATTCTCTGATATTCTAGAACCTTTCACGGGTGTCCGTTCTTCATACCTTAACTTACTACTTCCATTATGCCCGAAGCCAGTGGCAATTGATACCATAATATAAATTTATTTTCTCATTGCACAAAATGATTATTACAACTCAGTTTGTGTACACTTCTCTAAACTCACATAACACATAATTGAAAAGGGTGGTGAGCATACATTACACTAAATGGTAGTGAGCAAAAATGATATAAATTAGAGTGCATTTTTGCTCACCATTATTTAGCGTGGTGTATGCTCATCATCTTATTTATCACCGTTAGATGAATTTGAATTTTGAGATTTGTGCATATCTACTACACGAATCTCGAAATTCAAACTAATTTAACGGTGATATACATCACACTAAATGGTGGTGAGCAAAAATGAGCTAAATTAGAGTGCATTTTTGCTCACCATTATTTAGTGTGGTGTATGCTGACCATCTTATTTATCACCGTTAGATGAATTTGAATTTTAAGATTTGAGCATATCTACTACACGAATCTCGAAATTCAAACTAATTTAACGGTGATATACATCACACTAAATGGTGGTGAGCAAAAATGAGCTAAATTAGAGTGCATTTTTGCTCACCATTATTTAGTGTGGTGTATGCTGACCATCTTATTTATCACCGTTAGATGAGTTTGAATTTTGAGATTTGTGCATATCTACTACACGAATCTCAAAATTCAAACTAATTTAACGGTGATAAATAGGGTGGTGAGCATACATCACACTAAATGGTGGTGAGCAAAAATAAGCTAACTACACTTAAAGATAACAACCCCAATAATCTTGACTTAAGTTGTTGAGTTATTGATTGTCGTTGACCTTATACTCTGTGTGGCGATGTGGCAGATTGATGATATAGTCTCTTAAAAGAACAATCTCGCACATTGAATAGATTGCTACATGAAATTCAAGCATCTTGAGCATAGCATATATGACTAACAATCATCCGTCGATTTCTCATTAGCTTTCAAGATTTAGCTTGCTGCTACTTTAAGTAATTTTCGTAGCTATATCTTATAACCTTAGCTAGGGTTTATAATTCAGGATTTTATTAGGCCATTAGTTTAGCAATTTCTAAGCAGGTATATTCTACGTAGTGGATTAGTTAATCCAATACTTCGAATAAAGCACAACGCTTCTGATCATCTTAAGGTTGTTGTGAGAATTTGGTTAACTTCAAGGGTTCAACCTATAGGAATCCATGAAATTGCTTTGCAAGTAGCCCAAGAGGGCTTTCATGTACCGTAGCTTTCAGTAACAGATAGAAAGTGGATGCATGAGAATCTGTTTTAGCAGTTAAGCAAATAGTAGAACGTTAAAAACACACTAGGGTTTTAGTGGTGCACTAATAGCTAATCTATCATCACAATTCTCTCTATCATTTTCTCTCTTACGTAGTAACAAGTCAAAAAGAATTCTCTTTTATGTGTATCAAATCCAATATACTAGCTAGCAGCATAGGCATTGAGGATAATGAGGAAGGGAATTAGGATCCACTCCAAATCATAACTATAATCTTTTGAAAATCATGAGTCGAAATCTAGAGAATATTTGGTTGGGATTAAGTGGTCCATGGATTT